CTATAGCTTACCGCGTAATTGCGTTAAAGCGAGAACTAAGATGGCGCTAATTAAGAAGTCTGCATTCTTCAGTAGCATAAATGGAAAGCGCTCAAATGCAGAAATGACTGTAAGGCAATACTCGGGGTTGCATTCTTGAAAAGCCGTGTTTTTCAAGGGCCAAGGCCTTATGGGAAATGTGGGGTTAGGAGATCCGCGGCATGCAATCTTTTAGTGTGAAGAAGAAGGAGTCGCAGAGGGGAGGGTAATACAGGGTGTGAGAATGCGGGTGGACTCAAGTGGCCGTCACGACGCTGCCACAAGGAACTGTTGTCCTTCTGGTGCGCAGGTCACACAAATTAGAAACCTCCGACGCCATGGAGGAGTCGGTCCCATATCTGCAGGCACGGTATTTAGAATCGTACTGTGGGCCTCTGCTCTCTTCAGGAAGCAATGCTGACTCCAGTGTCAATTGTCCGGTCGCGAGCTGAAGGAAGTGACGCGCGAAAATATCGACAGAGAGTTCTATGTGCTGTGCTGTGGATCCGTCAGGTCTAAAGAAAACAGGAAGGAGTATAAGAGGAACACAGAAAATTACATGATGAAGAGCTCTATAATCTGTACTATCCACCTGATATTATTAGTATGATTAAATGGGTTCCCATCTCGGCGGCCCGGGTTCGATCCCGGGGTCAGATCAAGTGGGATTTGTGGTGGACAAAGTGGCGCTGGGGCAGGTTTTCTCCGAGTACTTCGGTTTCCCCTGCCAATCTTCATTCCACCAATTGCTCCACAATCACCCTCACGTATCATCTGGGGCTGGTACAATAGGCCAGAAGTGGCCACAGTACAAGGGACTTAGTCCCACCCCACTAGCAATAAAAATGATTAAATGGAAGAAAATTAGTTGGGTAGGGCATGTAGTATGCATGGTGGTGAAGAGAAATCTATACACAACTCTGGCAGAAAACCCCGAAGGGAAGTAATAACTTGGAAACCCAAGCTATAGGTAGGAAACAAATATTAATGATTTTTTAGAAATATATTTGAAAGGTGTGTTCTGGATTCGTCTGGCTCAGGACAGGGACTAGTAGTGGCCTCTTGTGAATGCGGCAATGAACTTCCGGGGTCCATAAAATGAGGTGAATTTATTGAGCCTCTGGGCTACCGTTAGCTTCTCAAGCAAGAGTCTGCTCCGTGAAGCTGCGTAAGCAACATGAAAAGTCACCCCACCGCTGGGAGAACTTCCACGTTATTTGGCATATTTCAAAATCGGAAAGGCAGTGTTTTGAGATTTGTGGACAGAACTGGGAAAGACAGCTTTGGGTCAACTGCCTATCACCGAACGGCTTCCTCGTCCTGGCGTATTTCTGAATTTGTTGGTAGCATTGTATGCTTTGTTATTTTCCTGATTTATGACCAAGATTTTGATCGATGCTGATAGGAATGTGGTCTGAGGATGATGGGCACCCCTGAAAGTGCTAAGGAAACACGAACTGTGTCCCTCTATCGGCTGTTCCACCCCCTCGCGTCAGCTAACTGCGCCAAATTGTGTTTGATTGGACCGCGAACTGCAGTCGCACTGGCTCGCCACAGTCCACTAGATGGACTCATTAGATTGCTTCGTGACGCTGTGGCGGTAGCGCACTGCCTGACTGTTGTGCCGAAGCCTGGTAGATTCAGAGACTTGCACAGATAACGTCATACAGAAGAGTGTTTCCGGTCAAAAAGAACGATTTTATCTCGGTTACTCACATTGGAGAGCCACCAGTTCGACCTATAACACCCGGCAAGTGTCCTCAATTTCACTTAAATACTTTGCAGAGGACGTCACCAGTTCAATCTGTAGTACTCTACAGGGGAAGCCACCAATTAAGCCTGTAGCACTCTGCAGAGGGAGCCATCAGTTCAGTGTGTATCATTCTGCAGAGGAAGTCACCAGTTCAGCTTGTAGCACCCTACAGAAGGAACCACCAGTTCAGCCTCTGGGACCCTGCAGGAGGAGCCACCAGTTCAGCCTGTAGCACCCTGCTGGAGGATCCACCAGTTCAGCCTGTAGCACCCTGCAGGAGGAGACACCAGTTCAGCCTGTAGCACCCTGCAGGAGGAGCCACCAGTTCAGCCTGTAGCACCCTGCAGGAGGAGCCACCAGTCCAGCCTGTAGCACCCTGCAGGAGGAGCCACCAGTTCAGCCTGTAGCACCCTGCTGGAGGATCCACCAGTTCGACCTGCAGCACGTTGCACCAGAGTGTGAAGTTCCTAGCCGAGGACTGGACGCAAGATGCTGGCCACAGTGCACGAGGAATACTGTGAAGACGACGTGGACTCTGAGTGGGAGGACTTCGACCGCCTGATGGAGGAATACCGGCTGAGACGCCGCAACATCCCGGCGTCGCCGCTGCTCAGCAGTGTGCGCCACTATGACCACCGCAGGGCGCAAGAGCAGGTGTTCTATCCCTGTCCTCCTCCCCAACCCTCGGAGCTCATCGAGGACTTGGATTATGTGCAGACAGTGGTAAGTTTGTGGGTGGGGGGGGGGGCAGAGAGGATGCACATTGCGGCTCTGTTCTTGCGACCGGCACAAGCTGTAAAGATGGACCGATTGATTAGCTATGGTGATTAGGCCTGTGTAGTTAGATCTGTTTTACTTTGTTGTTTATTTAACGACGCTGTCGGTAGCTGAGAATGGTGCAGTGTTTTGTGAATAATGAACGAGCGGCTTGGTGCACCTGTGAATCGCGGATGGGTCGCCGTCTGTTATGGCTGACGTTTGTCGTAATTTTCCTCAGTCCCTCTAAGCAAATGGTAGGATAGAACCTTCATTAGCCCGTGGCCATTTCCTTTCAAGTCCTTTCCAATTATTTACCAATAATTCTGCCATTCTGCACTACACAGTCTGGATATTGGCAGCATCGTAAAATCACAACAACAAAAGTGTAAAGCGTGGGGAAGGAATTGGTCGTGGCCTAATTTGTGGTACTGCAGACACCGTCAGTGAGGCTTGCGGACGCTGTCCTAGTAGAATTAGCCTCCAGCGCGTCACATGGCTGTCGGCACACGAGGACATTACGCCATGACGTCACACACACAAACAGCCCTATTAACTTGACGAATTCCTTGTCTACATGTTCGGTCTCCCTGTTTGTGATCTTCTTCTGGCGAGTTCCACTCGTCTGAAAAACCTATACAGATTCAGTTCTTACCTCACAGGAAACACTCTCCGTTTCCGTAACAACAACCGATCGCTTAATGCTGCTTTGAACAATTTTTTTTTTTCCTTGGCACTACAGCCCCAGTGGGCTCCATGAACTTCTCTGTTCACTTCGGTTTTTCTTGATCTTACACATTCGGTAGGACTCCTTGGGCGGGTGATCAGCTCGTCGCAAGGCCTCTACCTGTACACAAACACAGAAAGACACACACACACACACACAAACTAAACATCCATGCCCTGAGCGAAGACAGTACATGCCTTAGACCGCTCGGCTACCGTGACCGGCGCTTTGGACAATTATCGCTGTTTATTGTGAGAATGGTATGAAACATACGTATACCCTGTGTGGGCAGAATGCAGAGCTCTAGGTCGTATATATAGCAACCATTAGCCCTTAATGGGTTAAGTTAGCCCAGTCCGTCGGTCTGTACTCAAGGAAGCGCTCCAGAGCTCCTGGGTGGATTGTCATTAAATTCTACATTGGAGAACTATATGAAACATTGTTGGCCCATTTATGCGTTCCTTCAGAGAGAAATAGGAAGCTGGGAACAGCCGCGGTCCGCAGAAGCAGCTGGCTACAACTGAAATATGTATTGCAGACTACGGTTAGCTCTTCTGTACACCAAGGTAAGGTAAAGCTATCCCTGCAACAGGCTGTGGGGACCCATAGGTTTGTGCTACGTCGAGGTTCCCACATTTTCTAGACGGTCGGCTCACAGATGGCAGCGAGGTTATCAACCTTCCGTGCCGGCCGCCCTTTACCCCCAGGAAGATTCCTGGTACTCATTTCTGTTAGATGCTGAGTCGACCCCAGGGCCATAGTGCGGCTGGAAAGATTAGGTAAATCGAAAAAAAAATCCGCCTCATCTGGACTCGAACCGACCACCTACTGACTAGTTGCATAGTGCCTCAGCCAACTACGCCACCGCGTGCCCCAGTGTAATGGAGTGCTGCATTAATAGGCTGAAATAAGTCTTATTTCAAAGCAGTCCAAATTAATGACTTTCCTTCCTGTTTTCTTCACTATGCTACAAGCCGGAAGGTCGCGGGCTCGAGTCCCGATGAGCTGAATTTCTTTTTTCAAGTTACCTAATGTTTCCATCCGTACTATGGCCCTGGGGTCCACTCAGCCTCCAACAGAAATGAGTACCAGGAATCTTCCTGGGGGTAAGGGCGGCCGGCGCGGAAGGTTGATAACCTCACTGCCATCTGTGAGCCAATTGCCTAGAAAATGTGGGAGCCTCGACGTCTCACAACCCTATGGGCCTCCACGGCTTGTTACAGGGACAGCTTTGCCTCTTTATCTTCCTGTTTCCTTAAGTGCGTTCGCGTTCAAGAGGTCATTGTTCGTTGCAGACAGTTTATGATTGACTACTTTTCTGTGTTATTCGTGAGAGATGGTGTTAAGCACCGGCCTCGACGTATCATTCTATAGCATGTAAGACTGGAAAGGAAGAGGAGAAAAAGCAGAGGAAGTTAATAGTACTGAAGCTTATGACAATTGAGGACGCATCCCTTGGAATTCCCAGTGGGCCTTACACTCTTTACCTACAGTTCCTTATCCTGAACACAACTCTTAAGTCTAGACCGTGTACCTGTCACAGTGTTCTTGTGTGTCTAACGACTTTGTATCAACTGTAGGTGTTTTGCAACATTCGTTGATGATAGAGTAGCCAGCGGCCTGCTGGATCGAAGCTTGCAATTTCAACTTCCGCTTCCGTATCGCGTATTGATTGTGCAATGGGCGGGTTTCGTGGAATTATTGAGTCCATGCAGAGTAGGCCAAAGGGCTAACATATATATTGGGCAGATACGAACATGGCGGCCGTTCAGGTGACGTTAAGTTGCCGCTGTAGCCTGAGCTATGCAAGGTGAGGCACAATGTACTCTACAGAACCTCGACTGACAGAAGCAATGTACGTATACTTTTCAGGCGTTTCGTAAATATTTCTCAGATATGTATAATAAGTCTGTAATATGTGTGTTGCCTATACACAGACGGTCCCATCACATGAATATGCGTTAGAATTGTTAGAATTGCACTCAGGATTTTCGGATTTGCGATTCGAGACTCGATTTCTGAATGTCGACAGTTCGTGAGACCACTCTTCCGGCGTCCTCTCCCGTCTGAATGCTGCGCAGTGCTGGAGATGGCGGTTTAGCTGGTTGCTCCTGTGGCTTGCATGGAAACTGTTGTAACGATCCGCGGCGACGTGTTAACCTGATTCTCATGTTTTCGTGGTCTGTTATTTGATATGCCCTCTATACTTTGCAATGGAACAGTATACTCTGAAGCAAAATGGGGTTAAAACATTGAAGAGTGGTTCCAGACCCTTGATTCCAGGAATGCAACCCGCATACTTCTGTTGTCATAATGAACTCGACGCGAGATTTTGAGACTTTCGGCCCGTTTCTGGGAACGCACCAAGTCCGAAGTCCGAGGTACGCCTGTGGCGGCTGCGTACGGCGTACCATTTTAAACAGAACCCAGCCTATAAAAGCAAGGACTCCCGCCTTGCCAGTCGTACCATTGTTTTGTTCGGCACTTCTGAACGCTTCAGCAGGTAAATGAAGACATACTTTGTCTGCGAACACAGCGTGCTCGCTCGCACATGCGCGGCTTTTGCGGCAGCCTAGCAACCAAGCTGACACTGGTTGGAGTGTCACCAGAGTCCGTTACACGGGGAGAGGAACCTGTTCCATACAAGTGACTGTCGCTTGGGCTGTGTTTCAAATGGTGCAAGCTGTACACAGCGCAGCGACCAAATATTGGCGTTGAACCCGAATTCCAACAGACGACCTCCTTATTGTGCGTTCACTTGTCGCCCAGTATTGCAGTGCTGGGCGCATTGTAATTGGGCGGAATTGCCCCCTCGCAGCTGTCAAGATGAGGAAGTGACCGGATGACTCATCGTCTTCCTGCGAGCAACAGTGACACAAGTCGCTTTGCAGCTTTCCGAATGGGACTCACTCAGCTGACCGTGGGCCAACTCTGTTCCGCAAGTTGGCACAGAGACTGAACATTCATACATCTGGGGGCACTACACTACAAGCCGGAAGGTCGCGGGTTCTATTCACAGTGAGGTCATTGGATTTTTTCAATTAACCCGATCCTTCTAAGCCACTCTGTGGCCCTGGAGCCAACTCAGGCTCTAACCGCAAGGAGTACCATGAATCTTCCTTGGGGATAAAGCGCGGCCGGCCGACGCGTGGGGCTAACAACCTCACCCCCATCTATGAGCCGATTGTTTAGGAAATGTGGGAGCCTCGGCGTCTCACAACCATATGGGCCTCCACGGCCAGTTACCCTGTCCGTTTCAGTTGTGTAACTTTCTCTACTTTCAGAATTTTCATGAAAATGGTGTTCCCTGAGTAGGATTTGGGTTTTTCCCCTGCACTCCAAACAGCCCTAACTCGACTGCAGCCCTGGTTCGTGTACTTAGTGCTTTAAGCCACTCTAGCTCCACCTAATCTCTAAGCAAGGCAATCATTCACTTAGGCCGAGTTTCTGCTTCTGATGGGGCAGTTCATTATCACGACATGGACAGTGCAGATGTACTCCAGACTCAGAGGAAGCTGACAAAGTCAACTACCAAATTTTATCGAAATCCATTCCGATCAACATCCCGACGGATAATACCTTTGCGTAAAGCATTCCATGGCACATTCTGTACTCAGACCGCTCATGCCCGTATAACCTGAAAGAAAAACATTCTTATACTCCATCCGCTATGAGAACGTGTGTGCGTTACCGTTAGTTACGTAGGCCGTTACGTCGCCGTTAGAAATATACTAAAGTCTATTTTCAACATACTTCGGGCATGCACGTGTCGGCGGGAAATTTAAACATACTGAACTTGAAGGTGAAAAGGTACTGTGCCCTGTGCCAGGCTGACGAGGCCCGTAAGGCTGTGAGACGTCGGGGCTCCCACATTTTCTAGACAATTGGCTCACAGATGACGGTGAATTTGCCAGCCTTACGCGCCGGCCGCCCTTTACCCCCAGGAATATTCCTGGTACTCATTTCTGTTAGAGGCTGAGTCATCCCCAGTACCATAGTGCGCCTGGAAGTATTAGGTCAATTGAAAAATTCCTCCTCATCGGGACTCGAACCCACCTTATAGCGCAGTGCCGCAACTAACTACGCTACTGCGAGCCCCCTAAACGTAATGTACTTACAAAGGAAGATTTATGTACAGTGCGTGGCGTATCCTTGTTCATAGAGTACATGGACTTGGCTCAGTCCACGCAGTGACTGATCTACCGGATGCATGACCGCCGAATTGGAGTTCAATTCCTCTTCTCCACGGCGTCCAGACCGGAAGCAGTGCCTAATCTGTATGGACCATGTTTACTCGTATATTACCCGAGGATTCCATTGCGCCTCTGAAGTACGAAGCCCATTGAAGCAGCCGGTCTATACTTCCAAGAAAACATACTGGCACGCGATCGAGCGACTATATATGAGGGTTGGATTGGTAATTGGATTTATTGGACTTATAAACAACTCGTGACAACACTTTACAAATCACTGTCACACAGAGACTAGTATTCTCAGTCACGTTGCTTGGTAACGGCTTTCAACAGTGGATGTTCCTTTGCTCCGGGGCTCACGCCCTCGCAGGCTGGAGCCCACCTCACACCGATCTCCTACTCTTCTGACTGCCGTCACAGGATTGTCCCGTAATCAAAGTCGAAGTTATGTTACGACCGACGGTCAGTCGCCGGTCTGTCTTGGAATAAAGCACTCATGTGGGGCTTACGACTAAATTTTATTACTGTCAGACAGTTGCAGGTTTGTTGATGCGAAGCGCTGTCTCTGACCAGTGGACGTGTCTGCCGCTTACAATTGTTGTTGGCTGCCTCCAGCGCAGTCATTCTCGGGTCCGAGTCCCTTAGGACTCGTGACCACATTTCACTGTCTCAGATTCGAGACTCCCCCAACCTGGAGGGCCAGGTCCCCATATTTATATCCCCCAGGAACAAGGTGGCCCAGTTATACCCCAGGCACTGGGTTCCCCTTTCGTCGCCTCCTACTGCTCGCAGGCTACGGCGGAGGTACGGATCGCAGAGAAAACACCCCTTCCAACAATTACTCATTGTTGCATGTTACACCACCGCTTCCTAGCAATGGCTGTTTCTCTGGCTTCACACTTCTTGCTTTGAGGAACTCTGCCGCAATATGAATATCCCTCACTCAGATCAGCCGGAACTTGTTAAGAACTTGTTCTTGTAGGCACGTTTTGCGCACGTTGCCACCTGTCATACGCGTGAACTTCCCGCGTCGTGGCGCGACTGTTATGGCGTTCAGGTGCGTCTACCTTCAGGACAGGCGTAGACAGCCGGGAACGGAAATATGAGGGGGCTGAGAAGACATGTTGGTCCTTTAACAGATTAATGTGACCAGCAAATCTCCGAGCCCAGAATACGGAGTAGTGAACCGATAAGCTGATGGTACACATCCTTACCGCTGTCCTTCAGAGTTAATGGCTTGGTGTTCGAATGGGATTCCAGACTGTGTCCCAATTTTCATTTCCAGATGTATGGACGTTACACCAAAGACCTCGGTGAATACGCTAAAGAAGAGGCACGCAAAGTGAAGGCACTTGAGCGCAAACGCAAGAAGGAAGACCGTCTGCGTAACAAGGAGTTGCAGAAGTACCGAGGGAAATGTGCGAGCAAGGTCATAGCGGCGTTTAGTTTCGTATGGCGGCACACTTTTGCAAGGCTGGGAGAGGACTGGGTGTTCCTGGCTCTACTCGGGATCATCATGGCGTTCATCAGTTTCCTCATGGACCGTGGCATCAGTATCTGCAACCAAGGTATAGTTAGATTATTTTCATGTGTCCTTTTGAGGGGCAGACTAATGAGAGGCAATTAGCAGCCACTAAACACTTTGTGTTATCTACGGTTCATGCATGATTATGCCACACGTTCGTTTGGTCTGCGCGTTCTGTTGGGCGAGTCAGTTATACTCCCATTGGAATCAACAGACGTCACGTGTTCCATGTTGTGTTTCAGCTCGCATCTGGCTGTACAAGGACCTGACAACACATCCCGTGGTTCAGTATGTAGCGTGGATCAGTCTTCCTGTGTTCCTCATCCTGTTTTCTGCCGGCTTTGTCCACATTGTAGCTCCACAGTCAATAGGTAAGTTGCAACGCTGATGCTGGTTGCTCAGAACAGCAATTTGATGCTGCTCATCACCAGTGCAGTCATCTTTGGGATGGGGCCCAGTTGGTACACATGAGGATATTTTAAGTTCTGTATGCCGTTATGATGTTTTGTAAATGGGGCCTTCTGTTTGGCTAGACGAGGGGTAGGTCATTCAAAGGAGGCGTCACCTCTGCTGCGCCGCAACACAATTCTCCGCTCATACAGCGTCCACGCGAGGGGTGTGTATGTACACTATACACACCTGAACAGCGCATACAGAGAGCCTCTATCAGTGCTGGCTTACACAGCAGGTTGTGTCTTACCAAGTTTAACCACTCTGAAATGGCAGTCTGTCACTCGAGCGGTCGTAGGCCTGACCATCGCCAAGTTCATCTAAGCAGTATGTCTCTACAGGCCTTCTGAAATCCAGAAACTCGGATATCGGACGTGCTGATCCCCGCCAGCCGCGGTTCTGGCAGGAGCCCGCCGGTGTAACAAGGGACAAGGACGAGGGGCACACTGGAGCGAGACTTCGGAAGATGCGACGAAGGAGAGCAAGAGAAAGAAGGCGAGGGGAGTTGAATAGCCGACCGTAACCCCTGTAAATTCTTGCAAGCAGTTGCAATTAAGAGGAACTAGTGCCAAATAAATCCATGTCCTACCAGAACCAGCAGCATAGGCATTCTCACGTGACATTGGTGTCAAACGTGGGGCAGTGGATTGGAAATGGATTTCGCTTGACACATTTGCTTATGGACAGGCTTGAACGCCTACAAAGCGGCCAAGAAGATGTAAGGCCCTCTATAAACAACGGCCAAGGAAAAATGGAGGCCGCATTGGTGTAATTTGGTCGGCAGAAAAGAAACTGTCACCAATCGGGCAGGAGGAATACTGGTGTCTGACGATTAACGGACCCAGGGACTCCGAGTGGAACTAGACTCGAAGGTCCAAGGGAAATTTTGGCATACAAGCGACGAAACGGCTGATATAAGCCAACCGGCGGACGTTCAGAACGCTCCTGACGGATGCCGAAACCAAAGCAGGACTTGAAGGCGATGGGAACACAGTAACCGGCGCCGACAGGGTAAACCCGACGAGGTTCGAGCGGTCCCTATCCTAGGTCACGTTTCGTCGCAAGTTCGAGGTCGTGGCAGAACACAACAACTGTACAGGTAGCCGGCGTTTTGTGCTGCTTCCCTGCAGAAGCGATGTGGGGCGTTACGGAGACCACCAATTTGCCTTGGCCTACTGTTCCTGACCGAGAGCCGGGACCCAGCTGAGCGACGAGACATGGCGGGCTACCTCCGTACCTCATCTAGAGCGACGCAGGACGACAAACCGAGAGGTGAAGCAGCGATAGGACGCTTGGCGAGGGTTCCGGGTCAGGTCCTGATTTTTAGTGCAAATGGGTTTCTACCCGTCAGCAGTGGTACTACAATGAGGTACAACACACCTGGAAGCCAGACCGCATTCAGAGCTGCGGCAGGCGAGAGCCATGGTGCCCGGACGATGCGGGGTTGGGCAGCCTGTGTGTTGGCGGTGTAGGTGTGTCTGCCCCTAGGAACGCACCGAGAAGGACCGCCTGGGTGGAGGCGATCGGAACAGGAGAATCGATTAGGGGACGGCGCGAAGAAGGCGCTGGTGTCATGAGCTCTCCCCTTTATGTTACACTCAGCGTGTCAATATAGGGGCAAGACATGCCTCGCGACGACTGGCACCGGGACATCAGTGACGATCACCGCGGAACTGCCTGAGAGAGGACCGACTTGGCCATTGGCATCAGGGGAGATCATCCCTGTCCTGAAAGAGACGCTGGTAGAGCTGGCCTTGGGAAGGCGTCCTCTGAGAACCTGGGTGTTCGTCGTCGAGATTGCTGGTGTTTCAGTCCTGGAAATGGGCGTTCTGTATGCTCACGACGCGTACGTGGATCTGAGGCGCCGCATTGTACGGTTGGGCGAGGAATAAGCGTCGTTATGGCGTTCCGGTGCGGGAGGGACCCGTGGAGACGGCGGCCGGCTCCGAGGAAAAGCGTTCGGGACGAGGACGCCAGCTCGAGCTGCAAGACTACTAGTATGGCTGAGCAGCTGGATGACGGGGACGTCAAGACTGGGGGACGCCCGCAGTAGGAGGACGTTGCTGACCGCAGCTCCCTCCACAAGGGTCGGGGCCAATAACATGCCGAGATGTTATAAACATGACAGTTTCAGTTGAGTGAAGTGACGCCAAGTAGCTGACTGGAGAGTGAGAGAGTTCAGTTGGAAGTCAGCCTTTGAAGGGAAAGCTAGGAGGTTAGTTGAGTTGTCAGGTAACAAGAGTTCTGCACTTGAGGCTGTGACAAGAGGACCTGAGTGTGGCAAGCTGAAGAAGTTCTCTCGGTAGAATCCGTTGTCAGGAAACGGCAAGCGGATACTGTAACAGACTGAGTACACTAGTCTGTGTGTGTCAGTGATCCGTAAAGTGTAGTTCCGAGCTGTGTATGCATGTGGTTAATAAATGCAGTAACCAATCCAACCCCCGTCTGTAGTCACACACAGCAAAACGTGACAGAATGGGTGATCTAGAATGGAGCGCCTGTGTTGATGACAATTCACCTCTAAGTTTTATGTATAGCAGCAGGAAATTTCTTGACCAGCAGTATAACCGTTTAAATGTTTCATTAATCGAATTTATTTAAATGCTCTCTTAGTAGCTAACACTATATAGTGTTATATTGTGGCATGTAGACCCGTTACTAGGCAGCGACCGCGAAATAAGAAAATACACAACAGTCGTTACTAAGTAACGGCTCCGCAAACGAGCTTGTTTCTACGGCAACACATGGATACAACAATAATGGGGAGCGGTGGGGTCCAGTCGTTGTGAGCTGTTGATGTGATGGCCTATTAGCTGAGGCTGGGGACAGCTCGGGAACCCAGAGGAAGGGGAACGTCCGCCGTTGGAAGCCGTTACCAAGCAATGGCTAGTGAAGGTGCAGCAGGCTGAGAAGACTTAGGTGTGCGCTCTAGTGAACTGTAAAGTGTAAAGTTTGGTCTGTTGATGGACGTGGCAATGGAAGTTTTCCCATTTAATAGTACCGAGCTAGCTGCCTTTGTCCATCTTCTTCACGGTTTACTTTGTATACATATATTTCCGTCTCAAATGCAACTTATTGCCTTCTCGTACTTCTCTAGCACTACATGTTTTATCAGGTGCACGTCTGTCTTGCCGAAACTATTCACCTGTTTGTCGAAATTACATATCACGTGTGAACGCCGTGTTTATTGTTAATTAAAATACATTTAGAATTAAGATTAGAACTAAAAATAGAATTAAAACTTCACAAACGTAGTCAGCAGCTAAAAGGTAGAGCTATCCCTGTGACAGGCCATGAAGGCTTGTTGTGCTGTGAGACATCGAGGCTCCCACATTTTCTAGAGAGTGGGCTCACAGATATCGGCGAGGATGTCAGACTCGCGAGCCGGCCGCCCTTTACCCACAGGAAGATCCCTGGTACTCATTTCTGTTAGAGGCTGAGTCGACCCCAGGTCCATAGTGCGGCTGGGAGGATTAGATCAAATTGAAAACATCCACCTCATCGGGACTCGAACCCGCTACCTTCCGGCTTGTAGCATAGATAGGTAAGACAAGCAATACGTTGCATGTGAGACGGAAATGTATCCATACAATGTAAACACATTGATGTGACCGGACGCTTAAACACGAGTTCAATACTCTTTAAGTGTCTGTGGTCAGTTTTGCAAACTGTCATCTGTTGGGTATGTGTTCCAGGTTCAGGCATACCCGAGATGAAAACAATCCTGAGAGGGGTGGCCCTGAAGGAGTACTTGACATTTCGCACCCTCATAGCCAAGATTGTGGGGCTGACAGCGACCCTCGGAAGTGGCATGCCACTGGGTAAAGAGGTGAGGCACTAGCAGCTCACTCATGTTTCTTGTCCAAACTGGTCCAGCTGGCTGAGTGACTGTACATGGGGCTTCGACGTGGGGAGTACATGCTGAATGAAGGGAACTTACTGCTTTTAGATAGTGGTCTTTTGGGTAGTGATACCGTGTAGTCTTGTAGGTGAATACCAGCATTTCCACTGAACCTACTCCTTCCATCTACAGGTTGAATAAAGTGGAATTCAGGTAAACTAAATTTGCCTCAGTACCGGCTCTGGGGTCCACCAACCTCCTATCTAATGGGTGCCAGGGGCTCTTTCCCTGCGGGTAAAGCGGCCGGGCCGTGAAGCTGACCACTGACCTCCAGCTAGTGCCGAGGTCAGGAAAACATGGATCTCTACATCCACTCCCCCATACGCCTTCAAGGCGTAGTGCTTAATTAGTTAAGCACAGGGACGATGCCGTGAAGATGGATCAGTAGTGCCGGGTCCACCGTCCGGTAGACTGAAACTGGAAAACATAACGTTCCGCCCTCAGGTGCATTGGTGTTCATGTTGGCTAGGTTTGTAGCGTCAGTTTCTCTCCCCCTCTCTATCCTAGCATATAGACGTGGCGTATTTTCCTGGTATCTCCCTTCAACGTAGCAATTAAATCGCTGTAGTGAATCTTATATGGGTTATACGTAAGGAGGCAGGGAAGTCTCGAATCGGAGACAGTAAAATATGGTCGCGAGTACCACGGGACTCGGACCCGAGAATGACTGCGCTGGCGAGCGCCAGCAGCAGTTGTAAACGACAGACCCGTCCTCCCGTCAGAGAGAGTGCCCAACGTCCGTAAACCCTCAACTGTCTGACGGCAATAGAAATCTGGCCGTAAGCCCCCGATGAGTGCTTTATTCCAAGACGGACTGGCCGACTGACCGTCGGTCGTAACATAGACTCGGCGTGAGTTGTAGCTACAGCGAGGTCTCAGTGCTATTGAGACGTGGCGTGAGCGTTGGAACATAAGCCAACTGAGACAAAACTTAGGCCATCTACTTTTCTCATAGACTTACAAGTAGACCTCCTGAGACTCGTCTTTCATTTAATGGACGGAATATCCCCTTTGTAGATCATGCAAAATATCTCGGTGTAATCTTCGATATGACAAGCAGAAGTCATAAAAATCACAAGAATGAACATGTTGTCGGTATAGGACAAGGTGCAGCCAGACATAGAAACTGGTATAAGAAGCTCAAACTTGGCGGTGGTCAAGCTTACAACCATTCAAATGACTAAGCTGCTGTTGTAGCATAAGCTACGTAAGATAGGCATGATCAGCTCTGTAAAGCCTGTGCTGACAGAGGATTTGTGTGTAGTGCAAAAGGAAGAATTTCTGGTAACAGGCTATACACGTATATGCGAAATGTACACTTGACGACAAGCCAAGTATATTCATAAGAGAAACACCCATCTTCTCGTCAGAGAGGATTTTACATAAGGACCATTACCACAAGAGTTAAGATGAAAGAAAATCTCTGGTCGTGGGTCTCAAGGGGCTGGACATCAAGACGAACTGATTGGCGGTAAACTGCCAGTCGTAACTATGACCCTGACATGGGTTGTCCAGTGATTGAGGTTAGGTCTTTCTAAGGCCCCTAACAGAGTATGTGTCTCTCCCCTCACCTGACAACGGATGAGATCCAGTTTCCGTAATGCTGTGTTTTCTAGTTTTTACTAGAATACTGGACGATGGACAAATCCGAAAACCCAGTAATACTGAGTATTATACACCATCGTCGGAACCGTTTTGTATCTATTTGCACTTCAGTTTGTCTTTATATGGAGGAGAATCACCACCTCGCCTGTTTTATGCCTGAGGAAATAGCCCCTCATAGCCGTCGGACAGGAGAATGGGGGAGGGGGCTGCTGTGGAGAAAAGTGTGATGACCTTGCCGGGATTTGAACCCCAGTTCCTCCTTCGCCCGGTCTGTAGACTGTAGTGTAGTTACTGTATGAATTGAGCTATCACAGCTCCCATGCTGTTCCTACAAAACGTCTGCTACCCAGGTACAAGACTACACGGTGAAACAACTCAGAAGAACAGTCTCAATTCTTGCTGCCATGACTGCTACAGTTGTTATTCTTATCAGACTCCTCTGCAGTTTTCCTCAGTTCCTGCCTTGAATACTGGGAATTGTTCCCTCATGCAGACAGCAGCAACTGTCATCAGCTTCTGTTGACACTATTTACTTATTTGATGACACTGTCAGTAACTCAGACTGATTAGTGAGTAATGAATTGCATAGGATGTGGAAGGAAACAGACGCTGCCTAATTTGGGATACTATCCAGGCATTTGCCTGAGGAAAACCACAACAATTAGTCAGAATAAATGGTGTCTGCACTGAGATATGAACACAGGATGTCTGGAATAGGAAGCAGGGGTGCTGCCAGCCCACTGGATTGCTCAGCATGGCATGGGCTGACTACTTCAGGTGATAGCATGACATTGTGTGACACAAGGTGATGATGTCACACCATTGTGCAGGACATGGCAAAGTGTGTGCCATGCTGGAACAGCTCAGTGCATCCCACTTGCATCTCATTTCAATGTAACTTTCATTCAGGATATCGCCTGGAAATGCACCCACCGCTCCCACACTATCCCTTTTCATGCACAGTGGGTCCTTCATCTCATTTGAATGATTTATTTAGTAACATATTGTGGTATGTCTGCTGCAAGCCAGAATTGTGAAGCCAGCAGAGGCAGCCATTGCTAGGGAACTGCTGCGTAACCCGCAACAATGGGGTAACTCTTGGAAGGGGTGTTTTCTGTGTGGTCCGTGGAGGATGGTATCAGGTTGATCTGATATTGACCCCAAACATTTTTGTTTTCCATGTTGTTGTTGGCCCTTCTCCAGTTCCTCTCATTCTGCTGCTTTCTCTCTTCATTTCTGTCATCGTCTTCCTGCACCGCATTCTTTCCTTCCTCTTTCCATTCCTCTCTCCCTCTTTGTCACCTATCCTTCTGTTTGTCTTCATTTCATTCTGCTGCTTTCTCTCTTCATTTCTGTCATCGTCTTTCTGCACTGCTTTCCTTCCTCTTTCCATTCCTCTACCCATCTTTGTCTCTGTATTTACTTCTGTCCTTCTCTTTTATACCTTTCTTCTTTCATTCCAACTTCTTCATTTTACCCTCTGACTGTATTCTTTGTACTTCTGCTCGTTTTCCTCAACCTTCTTGTTCCCTCTCTTTCCTCATTGTCTTCTCCATCTCCTTCTCTCTCTCTCCTCTTTGCCTTCTACTCCTCCTCATCTTCTCTTCTTTTCTTTTGCTTCTCCTATTCCTCTCCTTCTTTTCTCCACCACCTCTTTCATACTTGTTTCCTCTTTTCCCGTCTTCCTCCTTTACCTCTTCTCTCTCTATGTCCCTGTTTTTCCCCTGCTTCTAACTGCATGATCCTGCAAACGGTCACAGTGAGCTGTGTCTCTGGTTTGCAGGGTCCATTCGTGCACATTGCCAGCATCACTGCCACACTCCTATCGAAGCTAGTGACGTCATTCCAGGGAATCTACGAGAATGAGTCTCGTAACTGTGAGATGCTGGCTGCTGCTTGTGCTGTTGGTGTTGCCAGTTGTTTTGCTGCTCCAATTGGAGGTGAGCTAAGCTGGATGTTGGTAGGCTTTGTTCTGTTTCATTTCAAATAGTTTGAGTAGTATGAACTTATTTTAGTTAAGACTTCCAGCTTCTGGGATGTGATTTCATGTAGCCTGATAAAAGTTTACCAGCATTTCAGAGGAACTTGTTGCTCTCAGCTTTCTACCATGCACTTTGAAATACTGTGTTCCTTTGAAACTTAGAAACCAAATATGAGAGTACCCCATGTCATAAACCAAAAGACCGCAGTATAAGTCAGTGAAAATCTCTCATTCCCAATGGGAGTTGGTGAGGTGAATAAAATATCAGAGATGACGTGTCTTGTGTGAATTTTGTTGTTTATAAGATACCTGATCAGGTTGGTTAAAACTGGCCTGAAAGGATCATGTTCTTTCCTCTGGCAATAATTTGTGAATGGGCACACCCAGGAGTAAACTGCAGTGGATTCAACGAAGTATTCATTCATAAACCTTTTATTCCATCTTGAAAAGTTTCCTGATAAAGCAATGGCACTTGACCATTGAGCATGAACGATGTGGGTTTAGTGGACTGTGGGGTACGATCTGCCACATGGAAGTTATATAATGTTGCAGGTGTGCTGTTCAGCATAGAGGTCACGACCGTGTACTTTGCAGTCAGAAATTATTGGCGTGGGTTCTTTGCTGCTGTGTGCGGTGCAACCGTGTTCAGACTGCTGGCAGTGTGGTTTCAGAAAGAAGGTAAGCCTGGACCTTCAGTTGAAGAGCACTCTGTCTTCAAGACTCTCCACACAGTTTTGTCCCAAGCCTAGTCTAAATGACTTTACATTTTGATATAAACTTCCACCTTAGATGTGTTTCAGGCTGAGGTGTCTTCCCTAATATCTTACAGCCTTGTGCTGGGTGCTTAATCCTTGTGTAACCCTTTGGCTGTCAAGCCCCTGTGTAGAACCTTGGGTGGATATGGGGGTAAAGGCAAGTAGATTCTTCTACTTAGTTCAGAGCACTTCATTTATGGGAAGCTATTTGCAATGCATAGCTATCATTCTGAAGAATGTAAGAACAAATTTGCAGGCCAGCATTGAAATAATTTTCTTTCATTTTTTCATTTCATGCATCCTGTTGTCTGTTATTATATACAATTCTTTATTGGAGTCTGTTGTAACACAACAACGTAACGGTCAAGGTTAAAATTACCTTAGCTACATGTTTTGGCTTTTAAAGCTGTCATCAGGCAAACACATGATTACTATATTCACACACTATTGAACTGCAATTTCATTGTGATAGTAAAGCTGGATGCTTGATAACTGTTACATTATAAAATACATGGTATAAAAATACAATGAATTATAAACTTATTATAAAATGAAAGTTATGGAGTAAAATATGATTAAAAACGCTTCATGTGATATTGCATATCATGAAGTCAGGTGTTGCAATTTTGTTAAGTTCCCCCCGACATAATGGTATATTCTAGACTTGTATACATATAGTAAACCGCTTGGAGGCCCGTGGTGTAGGTGTACGAGGGGGTACCCAAAAGAAACCGAACTTATTTTTTTTAAACTTATTTATTCAAATTTTAAGCACAAACCTTCAATCCCTTTCAAAGTACTCTCCACTTACACTAATACACTTGTCTAGTCTTTTATTCCATATTCCATATTCGCCTCCGTCGTTTTTTTCCTTCACCTCAGCGACATCAGCAAAACGCTGAAAAAAAGTTTTGATCATTTCGGGACTCTTCTTTCAAAGCACAGCATGCTTCCACGCGACCTTGTTTTTGTTCAGCAGTCAGCAGTCGTGGCACGAATTTCGCAGCCACTCTTTTCATTCCCAAATCTTCTGTCAAAATTCGCTGAACTGAGCTCCAAGTCACTCCCGACAGCTCCACAATTTCTTCAATGGTCCGTCGTCGATCTTCCTTGATGATTTCACGAATTTTTTCAACATTTTCATGTGTTCGGGCCATTGCAAAAACGACGATCACACAAAACAGTTGTCACTATAAACTCTGCCGAAACTAGTCCTTACCTTCTGAAGCAACGGTAGTCGGCTTATCGACTCAGGAATGTTAGCTCTATGCGCTCATATCGGCAAAACGCGGTACTACAAAAGCTCTGCCCACAAAAAAATTAGTTCGGTTTCTTTTGGGTACCCCATCGTATAGTATTAGTTACTATAGGATTCTGACGATGGTGTATAACACATAGAGATATTGGGTTTTCGGACTTAATCCATCGTCCTGGTTTTAAGATAACTAAGAAAAGACACGACGTTTCGGAAACTGGATCTGTTTCCATCCTCAGGTGAGGGAAAACCTACCAGTAGGTCCAGTGATTGAGGCTAGCTCTTTCTAAGGGACCCAATAGAGTAGGTGTTTTCCCTCATCTGAGGACGGAAACAGATCCAGTTTCTGAAACGTCGTGTTTTTTCCTAGTTATCTTAAAACCAGGAAGATGGATAAAGTCCAAAAACCCAATATCTCTGTGTATAGCATTATTTGACATTAATTGTTTGGCCGGTGCCTCATCTTACAATGTATTTTGTCTGTTCTGTTGGGAATGCAGATTGCAAACAGATAAGTAAACAAACAAAGAAATAAATAAACAAACAGACAAACAAGTCCTGGAACTTGGTCACTCAAGCAGCACATGATCAGTTTGAAATAAAACAATTGACTCTTACCTTAGATACAGAATTAGCAGAAGAAGCAATCACTACCTTGATGTGCATTATCAAAAATACATTTTAATTACCATACCTATGCACAGCAAGGGCTCCCCACTGCTGTTGGCAACTTAGTGTGTGAATTGAACGGAAACATGGTTAGAATTCGAACATGGCAACTTACACCAGGTCACAACACGCACCAGACAAAATTTAATTCACAGCCACACACCACTCTTCCAGCTGAGCAAGAGAGAGGGAAGGAAAGGACATGAGAGAGAGAGAGAGCAGGCATGGTAACACTTCAGCCTCAATTTCCAGAGAGGGGGAAAGGAATAGAATTTGGCAAGGGAACTCACGTGGATCAGATGCTAGTGTAAAAAGCGTGAAGCCATGCAGTAAAGTAGAAGGGAAAACGAGGGCACTAAGCCATCAGAGCCTACAGTGGTACTTCCATTCGAGAAATGGAATGCTTCAGCTTCCAGCTGGGGTGGATATTTTTCTCTTCTCCACAACATCCAGATCAGTTCTGGGTCCCACCCAGTGTCCATTGCAGGGATAAAGCAGGTGAAGTGTGTTGCTAACAGCCAACTCCACCTAGTACTGAAGATTAGAAAAGACTGGAGCTGTACCTCCAGTGGGCTGTAGTGTTGATCGTATTGATGTAACTGGAATGTAGCCTTCCACACTTCACTGGCAGGCGCACGATGGCATGATAACTGTAGTTTGCTCCTTGTACAGCCACCGTGACGGCCGTGTATGCTACAAGCTTCACCATGGACTTTCCGTTCGACCCACAGGAACTCATTGTATTCGCTCTCATTGGGTGAGTTCTGTCTGCAGCAACAAATAACATGAAGAAAGCAGTCTTCTGGGATTTGGCACCGTGTATATGTGGTGTTAACCGATGTTTCAGAGGAACGTCGGTTAACACCACATATACACAGTGCCAAATCCAAGAAGACTGCTTTCTTCATAGTCACCGCCATGAAAGCCTCAAATCTAACAAGTAACATAATTCCCTGTGAAATATCAAGTGGAAACTGCCTAAAACTAACTTTGTTAAGAATGCTTAACTCCAGTAACGTGAAAAGTTCTGGAGAGAGAGCTGTATTTGTACTGAGAATCTATACTCAATAGACTAACTATGCACTAAGTAGTACTGCTGCCTAGGAGAACTTTCTCAGAAAAGGTTGATACTGCGGTACCAACTTAAACGTACCTTCCACTGCTGCCTTCTTCTGCTCATGACTGCAACATAACAGTTTGTTGCTGCTCCTGTATTTATTTACATGTTAACGAGAGCAATGACAACATAGAAGATGTTAACCTTTTAGATGAAAGGATTTATATGATAAATTACGCAAAACATTATTCTCAAAATCAGCCCAGATTTGAAAACATTTAAAACAGTTAACTGCTGTATCTCCTCACTGCAAGCTGCTATCATGGATCAGTGTATTATTGATGTGAACACTTGGATTCCAAATTAAAGTGTCTATAAGCCTCTAGTTTCCATAAGTTCCCCTGTTCTGAACTCCATGAATGGTAGTAATCCCAGTCCTTTCCTTTCTTGCTTCATGTTTGTCTTCACTGACAGTTTCAATCCTCTGTCTTCAGTGTGATCTCAGGGCTGGGAGGGTCCATGTATGTGTGGGTGCACCGCCAGTATGTTCTGTTCATGCGACGGAACAAGAAGATGACCTCTTTCCTACAGAAGAAGTAAGTTCGATGGATCTGTTTAACCCTTTCAGTTTGTGAAATGACTAGAATCAGTGGATGATGTGCATTTTTGCCTCCAGTTAGAATGGTTGAACTCAGTTTCACATCCAAGATAGATATGCAGCTCAGAGCATGTTACACATTTGATACTCAGCTATCACTTCAGTTACATTTCATTTACATTTTCCTTTAACTCTATATACCACTGAAACAGCCCAACCACAGCAAGGCTTTCAAATCTGATTGTGTGTGGCATTTAGATTGTACAAAATTCCTGGTTGTTAACACTGTTTGGTTCCGACCTGTTGCACATGCAACTTTCATGTTATAAAATAAGCAGGCAATTTGTATGCAGCCTGTGACAGTAAATGCTTCCATCGATATACAGAAATTAATGGAACTTTTGTTGTGACAGGGTTGAACTTTCATCAGGAAATTTCTTGAACAGCCTTAAGAAACAATTGGAGAAGGCACTGCATCTGTTTCATTTCCCCTTTAAATAACATTAAAAGAATTCAATTCCTACCTCACAGAAGACGCTGCAGCTGAGTAACAAACATTAACTGGTTCATGCTGTTCGGGAAGGTACTTGCTGTTGATTGTGATAATTTATGAAATACATATGCAAATACACTGCATAGGTAAAATGCAGAGTCCTTAATATCGATGCAGTGGTATGTACAGTTACTATTGTCCTTAAAAGGGTTAAACTTTGACTGTCAAGTTCCTGCATACAACTGCTTACTAGAAATACCAAGGTTGCTTGGGGGTAAATGCGGTTGCACAGAAATAGCCGCAGTACTTCGTCAGATAACCTTCAAATTACCACAGGTATAAACAGCATGGAAGCTTGTCCTTTCCTCTAAACATTGATATGCCACATATGATGCTCTCTATTGTCCATAAGTGGCTATATTAAGTGATCATCTTTCGGTCACTCTCTTTGTCTGTGGCACTTAGTGTAAAATGTGCTGAGCTGATAATATTGACCCATGCAGAGGTTTAAGCTTCAAAGTATTTGGGGTGAAGTATGATAATGTTTCTTTGTTTGCCAGAATGTTCTTGTAGATATAGATTGCTACAGCTTCTGTTGGTAATGTTCGGGCCTAGTGAGTTACCCAAGAGTATACAGTTGTACAGTCTTTCTGAGCAGTTGAAATGTATTCATATATGCAATATTTGAGTTCATCACGGAAGTGAACATGAATGCAGTCAGGTGGTATATGGTACCATGTAGTCTGGTAGATGGGTACTAATGTCTTCAGGTTAGCAGAGTTTACTCCTGTCTTCGGAGGACAGAGGGAGCAGGTAACTTTCAGCTGCACCACACAACATCAAATCCCACTGGACAGTAGTATTTTTATTTGCGTCTGGTTAGGAAATTCTCTGTTATTATGGAACCAAAATGTTGCTCACCATCTCCACAAGGGGCTGACATTGATATTTTTCTGAACAAGTTCAATCTGCTTTACAATTCATTTCTTGTCTGTACGCTAACCTCCGTGCAGCTGCTAACTGTTAACGATATTGCCTTGCGTGCGGTGCAGCCGTTTCCTGTACCCAGGAATAGTCTCGCTGATGGTAGCATCTGTGTCCTTCCCTCTTGGATTTGGCCAGTTCATGGCAGGAGATCTGAACTCCCATGATCAGGTGAGTAGCTCCATATATTAGCTTCTTCTCCCCTACTTGTACCCNTGTGACCTGACTGAACCTTCGTGTTCTGAGTCATCCAGTGGGTCTCTTTCCTTTAAATTTTAATTTAATGTCCTCAATTTCCTTGTTCTACACAGTCTTTGTATATATGGTCAAACCACTCCAATAATTTACCTTCTAATTCTGTTAAATTTAGGATTCTTTCTTCAATATAGCATATCTAACCCTGTCCTTTCTTGTTTTCCCTTCACTACTTCTTAAGAATTTCCTGTCCGTTGCTTGGATTTTGCTTGTGTGTCACTTTATGATGATCCATGTTTGAGTGTTATATGTTAGTATCAGTTTAAAATATACTGTCACATGTTATGAGTAACTCATGGCAGGTTTTTGGTTTGGATATTGGATTTATTGACCACTTACAGATCATAGCTAAAAGTAACTTTAACAGTCTTTGCTGAGTTATACGCTCCAAATATCACCATAACTACAGCACACATAAAGTCTCCACTAGTCATTTCCTAGTAACGGCTTCTACAATGGCTATTCCTCTGCTTCCATACTCAGGTCCTCTCTGGATGGTGGCTCCCTTCCAACTGCCTGTTCTTGCTTTTGTTGTCCTCCTTATAACCCCTTTTGTACAGACCAAATAGAAACCCCCGTTTCCAACAGTACCTCTATTGTTGTTGCACGCTTATCTGTTGCCACAGGGACATGTTTACTGAACCATTGCCTGGAAACGGCTTTACACACTACAGTACATTAGATACTGTTGTTTTGCATTTGGGGAGGAGGTGTATGTTGCATAACCTTGATTTTACAATTTGACACAATTTGGAATGTTCATTCTTCTCATGATGTCTCCAGCGATTTACATTTCCAAATTTTTTTCAGTTTTTGAAGAAATAAATTGAATGTGCCTATCTGTTTTATTCTGATGTAACTATAATGTGTGTACACAGCTAATGTGGCAGGGCCTGGTAAGAATGTCACCTTGTAACTTTGCTGACCTTCACGAATTTCCTGCTTATGATCTGATGTTGGAAGGTATGAATTGCTTTAATCCACTTCTTAGTCTTTTGGACCAAACTGATCAAGAGAATGGAACTATTTATGTAGTTTGAAATCAAAAGATGTATTGAAATATACTTCTTTACCTTCCTACAGGGATTTTTCGCCTGCTAATGAGATGTGACTCTCCCAGCTGCACTGACAATGTGACGTGTGCCATCTATTTACTTACCCAAGCAGAATAGTCCTTCTTCACCCAGGATATGGTTGCTTCCAGTATGATAATGTATAGTGGCTGAAACGTTACATAGGGAATAACAGTGAAATAAAAAGAAATAAGTTTACTCAAAGTAACTTAATAGAAAATGGCTGAGAATGAAGATTTGCACCCAAACATTGTACCATGATGCTTGTATATCACCTTAGCAGCCATGGCTGCCATACACATTCACAAGAGTATGGAATAGATTTCATAACACTTTGGGTATTCTGTATGAGGTGAGCAGTAGGAAAAAGGAAAGTGGCAGGAAGATTCATTCTCATACATACTGCATTATATCTGCAAAATGTCTAAATAGTGAAATTTCTGGAAGTGCAATATTGTTGTTGTGTTAGGTGTCAGGCCTGTTCACAAACTTCACATGGACCAAAGGGAACCTTACCGTGCTGGAAGCAGAGACTGTGCGCCACTGGATTACCCCTTACACTGATGTGTTCGTGAGTCTCGCTGGCTTCATTCTCTTCCATGTGAGTTGACCCACATGCCAGTAAATGATATGACAGATGGAATTTGTTACAAGAGGTAGGATTGAAAATGACTGTCCCATTTAGAATGGAGGATAAAGTGCTGTAGAAATGTGCACGGGAAGGAAACAGATATTATGTCATTAGTGAAGTCTCAAGCATCTGGCCTCAGTTCATGGACCTCTGCTTCCAAATGCTGAATCTGATCCAACTTCACACGGCTGGTCACACTCAAATTTCAAGTCTTGTATATTAACATTGTTGTTAGGGAGTGGATAGGCTGTGTGAATTATCGTTGGCAGTTGGGGAAATTGAGAATTCTGTTAGAAATGTGTTGGATTAAGTAATCAGGCTTTAAAAAGGGGTCCTCATTCAATTATTTTGGAAGTAAATTCATGCCAGTGTGGAGCACAGTATGACCATTTTGAAATTAAAAAGACTATGTCATGAGGAATACTGTCTTCTTGCATGTGATACCATGCAGCCTTGTAGGAGTTCACAGCCACTTTAGAGAAATGCACTGCCTTCATTTTCAGGGTCAAAGAGTAAGCCAAGCAAACAACCAACAAGAGTCTTGTCTTACTCTTAGAATCTTTAGACGCAAGCAGCACATTCTTGTGAACTGTCAGTGAACAAGGCAACACATCCCAGAAGATGGTGCCCTCTTCATAGTTGTCACTGTGAGAACCTCAAGTCCAGGTTCTGAGCGCGGTGAATATGCAGATAATTGGTTTCTGGGATGCAATGCTGTATAGCCTAATAGACATGTACCCGACATTTCCATCTTCAGGGTAGAAGAGAAGGAAGGTACAGAGACAGGGATAGGAAGAAAGGAAGTAGGATTGTAAGTGGGCCCTAAAAGGGTGGGATAAACATCTGAAAGGAAAGAGGTGTGAAAAATGTTCATAGGCTCTCCTTTACATGTTGCTATTTTGACGCTGATCATTATGAGCCCTCATTTGTTTGGATGATTATAGATGACCATGAAATTTATTTCTAATTAATTCTCGGTAATTTTAATTTCAAAAGTCTTATGTTTCGATATTTATTGTGATCTTTAATATCGTATTTCATTGTCTGGGACGTGCAATACGGTGTTTATGTTGAAATTTCTAGATTCTGGCAGGACCAAGGAGTCCGGAATTCTGACATTTACGAGCAGTCATAAATTTAGCTCGGGTACAGGGAACCAGACGCGCCTAAAAGGAAGGTCAATGAGAAGGACAGGTCAGAACTTGTTACAGTTTCCTGTGAATGAGGGCCAGTATGATCGAGTTGCCTCGTTCAAGCTTCCTTGCGGAAGATGGGATGACATGTATATGTCCACACCATGGAGAATTCGAATTCTTTCGAATTCCCGGTGTGGGGTGTGCAAGCCATTCCACAAAGAGAGACTTTCACCATATTCCGAAGTGAACGGACATGACCCTTGCACGCTCCGAGACCTAGCTTGCAGATCGTGTAACGCTATACCTTAAAGCATAAGGATACATAAAATTAACAGTGGTTTGAAGAACAAAAAGGTGAATAAACGTCAATTGGATCAACTCCCAGAATACCACTTTCTTTGGCATCGCTACCCTGAGACTCATGCAAACCGACCCAGCTAGTTTCCCGTACCTATACCGATCTTCCTTAGTTTGATCTGTGAGGACAACTTGCAGTGATCATCATACACTGTCCTAAGGTAGAAACAGGTTTAGCAGGGATAGCACCATTCCGACTGAGCTGAAATTCAAAGAAAGGCGGGTTGGAAAAGAGCGGTGTTAACACACAGGCCTATGAGGTGTACTGGTATGAATTGGATGTGAAAGGTGAACTCTAGATATAGTTATTTCATTATGGAAGCAGGGCCCTGGAGCAGCTGTGCCCCAGTTAAATCCTCTGCCTCTCACAAGTGAGACTCATTACAAGCAGCTTCTAGTTTGCATAACAGTCTGCAGTGCTGCTTCATGTTGTGTGGACAGATATAGGTATATAAAGCTTTCTGTCACACAATGTATATTCGCATCCAAGCTTTTACAAAATGGGTTACATATTTCAGTATATATATAATTTTCAGCCATCTGTTATCTGAACACATACATACACTTTATTCTAAGAAGAATACATGGGCGGTGCCATTAGTCAGGTGGTCAGTCACTGCTTTCCCACTTTGATGGCATTAGTTCAGTCCCAGGTCAGGTCATGCAGGATTTGTGGTTGGCAAGGTGGCACCTCATTCCACTGACTGCTCTGCATTAATTAATCATCTATCATCCAGGGCTGGTACAATAGGCCAGTTAGTGGCCAATGTACCAAGTGAACTCAGTGTCACCCTACCCCAGAAACTAAACTAAAAAAGATATATATGCATGTGTTTGGATAATTGAGAACCTGAAGATTACTTAAAGATTGATATTGCTAGCTCTTTATATGCTGGAAGAAGAATAGGCCTATACATTTGTGATGGAAGGATTTTCATGTTTTCATAACAGTGTACAAGTTCCCACTACTGATGTCTGATTCCAGTTTGTCTTCTCCATCATTGGTTCAACAATTCCCGTTCCATCAGGAAGCTTCATTCCTGTGTTCAAAATTGGGGCAGCATTGGGCCGAATGATGGGCGAGGCAATGCACCTCTGGTTCCCACAGGGCGTCCATTATGGCAATACAGTAGCGCCCATTATACCAGGTAACAGATTGGTGCCATGGCTCTGCTGCGTCACTGTGATTACACCCGCAATACCTGCCCCTCACCATAATAATTCTTCAGTTTTTCATTTTAGTCAGTCAGTTAGTTGGTGTATAGTTACTGTGGTGTGATTGCCTAAGAGCTTTGTGCAAATCCTTCAGCCACTCAGCCAGATAAGTTGGACACATGCAGGAAACAGTCAGATGATTGCTCTCTGGTGTGTCCTAAATGTATATATCTCAAAGGAGGAGTCTGTATTCTGTATATATCAGACTGATGCTTCCTGTCCTGTCATATGGTATGTTTAAGTTAAGCATCTTTGAGGTAACTTCATCAGAAAGTGACATAGATCATAATGTCGTCATTTGAAAGTTGCTGGATTCTGTCTTCGACATACAGCGGGAATGACAGAATTTTTCCTGTGTAAGATTGCTTGCACACTGTATTACACCTCCTCAGAACTGTTTCAGACATGGCAAGTACACAGGGCAAGAAGGTTGAGAGAATAATCTTCAGTAGAAGATGTGCTTGCCGGTCACGGTAGCCGAGTGGTCTAAGGCATGCACTGTCTTCGCTTGCTCGGAAGGCAGGATCGTGGGTTCGAATCCCACTCAGGGCATGGATGTTTGTGTGCGTTTTTCTGTGTTTGTGTACAGGTAGAGGTCTTGCAACGAGCTGGGCACTCGCCCAAGAAGTCCTACCATATGTGTAAGATCTAGAAAAACCGAAGCGAACGGAGTTCATGGAGGTAGGCCTAGGCCCACTAGGGCTAGTGCCAACGGGGGGGGNGGGGGGGGGGGGGGAGATGTGCTTGAGTCAGTATTGCATTATCCATTTTTTCCATAAGGAATTCACAGTTTCTCTCTCTAGATAGCAGCACCACATGGTTAATGTTATTCTATGAAGTTTTGTATCTCATGATAACTGCAGCTGTCTTTCCAGAACTTTCAAATTATTGACATAATTAATTTTTTATGAAGTTTGTTTCTAAAGCCAAAAAGTGTTCCTTTTGCACATAAATTGTTTGTTACATTATATCTTATGTGACCCCCTCGTTGATGTCTCCACCTTATCGTGGTGAGGGGGTTTGAGTATGCCAAGGACCCTGAGAGGTATACCAGCGGTAGCGTAGCTACTGGCAGGGCCTCCCTTGCTGGACAGGTCAAAGGGTAGGCATCAGACAAAGAGAGACACCAAAAACCAAAAACTGATGCTGGAAGCAGCGTCACCAGCAGCGACTTGAAGCACAGAGCAAATGATGCTCGAGATGGTTCAAGTTTGTATAGCAACAGGCGTGACCAGAGTGGTTTGAACGGCTGTTGTACTGTGATGTGGAAAGCAAATGGAAAAACTACCACATTATCACTTTTCCTGGATAGTCTCTTTCCAAAAACAGAGATACCATGTATGCGAAGATAGAGGGGCGGATAGAAGTGACCAGAAGACGAGGAAGAAGATGTAAGATGATGCTGGATGACCTTGGGGACAGAAGAGGATATTTTTATTTGAAGGAGGAAGGTCTAGATCGCATTAAGTGGAGGAACTGTTTTGGAAGAGACTGTGGACCTGTCGTCTGACAGATTACTGATGATGATCTTATGTGCTGAATTATATAATGGTGTTGATAACCACAAAAATGTCATGTGAGATGTCATTTGGCTTGTTGCTAGTCACATATATAGTTATTTTAAAGTATCTTGAGCATTTGATAGTAGGAAATACATTGCGAGGATCTTCTAGTGTCCAAGAAGCAGCTCACAGTAGCATGCTCAAGCTTATAACTGCGTGTACCAAACAGCACACTGGAATGGGCTCCATTCCTGCTTCATGTTTCAGGATGTTACAGGTTTAGACCTTGGCCCGGAGAGCAGCTATCCCAACAGATTTTGTTGCATTTCCTCAGTCTATCCAGGCAAATGCCAGGATAGACTCTCAAACTGAGACATAACTGTAACCTTCCACATTGTTTCAAGATGATTATTCACTAATTATTGTGTCATTTCATGATGTATGTATAGTCTGAGTTATTTAAAGCATTAAAGAAACAATAAAATAAAACAAGAAGTTCTGAGAAGAACTGATCTCCTATGGACCGCATAGAAAATGATGCATCGAACAGTTCTTCTGTTGTTGCATGTGAATGTGTTGCTGCAAGAACGTGTTTACCAAGCTGCTGCCTAGCAGTAATGGCGGGAGGATACACATACAGACACACAGACAACGGGATGATCTCTTAAGCCTACTTTTATATTTTCAAAACAGGGAAATTAAGGTAAAAATAAACCAGCAGAGGAGTGCCACGCTTCTGACAAGGTTCATTTTGTCATGCAGGTGGCTATGCTACAGTAGGAGCTGCTGCATTCTCAGGAGCTGTGACACACACCATCTCGGTGTCGGTGATTGTGTTTGAGATGACAGGCCAAATCACACACATCATTCCCATCATGGTGAGTTGCCAAGACTCTGGTCTTATGTTGTAAAGTAAAATTTGAAAAATATTTTGTTAGGAGCATTCACATCTCTTGTATTTTGGTTAACACACAAGAAACAATGTTAGAACTGAATGAATGTATAAGCTTGGCCCTTGCACCGCGACCTCAGTGGTCTATTGTGCTTCCCATTTTTTTAATTATTCCCTGAACAACCCCGCGCTTTGAATAAAGCGCAGGATTTTAGATGTGGGGCCGTCAAAATAGTCACTTGGTTCCATAAAGTACTGACCCAAGTGACGTAGTCTTAAATAAGCATGTTAGGACTTCTCTTCATGGCGTCCAGATTGGCTCTGGAACCCAACCGGCCTCCTATCTAATGCGTACCATGGGCTGTTTCCTCAGGGAGTAAGGGGCCAGGGCATGAAGCTGGCCATTCACCTCCATCTAGTAGAGGTCAAGAGTGACTGAGCTATACCTCTGCCCTCCCATGTGTCTTCGTGGCATGGTACTTAACTGATTAATTAACACAGGGACAAGCTTTGCCTCTTTTTTACTCTTACATGTCTTGAAGACTCCCTCAGACATCACACTTGCGCTGTGTTGCAGATTGCAGTGCTGATCTCGAATGCAATCGCTGCGCTGTTGCAGCCGTCACTGTACGACAGCATCATCCTCATCAAGAAGTTGCCATACTTGCCAGATCTGCTGCCGTCCAGCTCCAGTAAGTCCTGCAGTTCAGGGAAGCTGTTGATTCACGTGTTTGGCATTGGCTGCACTGTTACTGTTATTATGTGCAACAGGATGGTCACCATAAAAATTTCAAATAAGAGAATTAATTTAAAGATCTAAATGAGATTTGTGACATGAGTCACATTGTGAATATGAATACTACTGCCTTCTCAGCCATGACACTGGTATCTGTCTACTGGACTATGAAGCAGTGGTGCTGGAAGAACGTGTTCAGGATATGTTCAGCCCAAATTTCAGTGAGGATATTGGTTATCCCAATTAAGGTATTTCATGGTTTTCCTCATTCCATTCAGGCAAATGTCAGGATAGTTCCTGAATTAGGCCATGACCGTTTCATTCTAAATCCTTTGTGATTCATGTTATCTATCCATTTGATGCTGTATAGTCTAGTTACTGAAATCGTTTATAAATACCCCCCCCCAAAGAAACATTAGCATCACATCCCAAAAGACAGTATTCTTTAAAGATCTAAATAAAAAACATCCAGTTAGTTCCATGGTGCATGAGGGGCCATTACTGTGTGCTCTCTAATGGCCATTTGTGTTCCAGAAATGTACAGCGTGTATGTGGAGGACTTCATGGTCCGTGATGTCAAGTACATCTGGCATGGAATGAGCTATGGGAAGCTGAAGGAGGTGTTGAAAGAGAACCGCAATCTGAGGGGCTTCCCCCTGGTTGACAACCCAGGTCAGTACTCACTTTACCGTGGACACATTCTTGTTCCAGGAAGGATCCACTGTGCTCCCTCCCCTTCTTCATAAATACTACTTCCTCTCCCCCTGTTCTTTCAGCTTCTTTTCCTTCCTTCCACAACTTCCATTCTTGACCTTTGCCTCCTTCTCTTCCTCTCTTCCTCCACTTCGTTGTTTCTTTCTCTTCTCCCAGTTCGTCATTTCTTTTACCTTCTGCCAGTTTCTCTCCATGTTCTCCACTCCTGTTGGTTCTGAATTTTGTATGTTAGTGTCCTCAGTGTACTGGCCAGATATTTTGAATTTACCCTGCACCCCACATTTCGCTGTCTGATAAATTCTGCCTTCTCTTGACCACAGAATCCATGATCTTGTTGGGCTCTATTCAGCGCCTGGAGCTCATCAAACTCATAGAACGCCACATTGGACGGGAGCGACGGCTGCAAGTGGCTGCCAAGTGGAAAAAGGAGGCACAAGAGAGGTCGGCAACTTTCGTGTTAAAGTCATATTACTTAATCTTTATTCCACTGTCTTGTATTAAATTAGTTCGTTACTTTTAATGCACTTCTGCCCCAAGTTCACATAAATTACATTTAATTCATCAATTCATACCTCACAGAAAACACAGCCCATCCCCATTACAGAGTCTGACTGGTTAATTGTGTTTAATGAAATAATTACTGTTTATGTTGAGAATCATGTGAAATACATTCATACCCTGTGGACAGAATGTAGATTTCTTTAATATTAAAGCTGTTGTAAATATAGTTACCACTATTCTTTCAAGGGTCATGATGAAACTGAGAATAGAGGAAGTAAAGTGCACTCTGATGTCTGGAATGAGTGAAGTTTTTCTTCTGCTGCAGGGCCAAAGAAGAGATGGAACGTAAGATGTGGGAGGAGTCACAGAGGCAGCGACGACCATCCCGGTTTGAGGTGATCCCTGCACCAGACATCTTGAAGCTTCGACAGCGCTCCAGCAGTGACCTCGTTTCACACAATAATCTTGCAGTGGGGGATGTCAATGGGGTGAGTGGACAGGACTGTGGTATATTCTAAAGCACAATAGACCACTGTAGGTTGCAGTGCAAGGGCTGAGAAGGCCTACCCCTCATACATTCGTTATGGTATACTCTATCTAAAATTTTTATAAGAGGAATCTTGAGCTGTTATACCTCTGAATACATAAATAAGTAGTGAAGTCCATCAAGCATGACAAGTTTAATAGGAAAAATCTTGCCTTCACATGTTTCAGCCAATATTGGCCATCATCAGAAGGCGTAGCCAACACTAAGAAATAATACTTCACATATGTGCTTGGACATAAGTAGTTGTAATGGAAATTATAGAAGTTTATTTTAACAATACTTGCATTTCAGTGACTCTGTTTTTTGATGCATCTGATGATGATCTGTCAAGACCAATCCATGCGGTGGTATGATATATTAAAAAAGGGTAATGCTATCCCTATAACAAGCTGTAGAGGCCAATAGGATTGTGAGATATTAAGACTCTCACATTTTCTAGACATTTGGCTCACAGATGGTGGTGAGGCTGTCAGCCTCATGTGTCAGCCACCCTTTACCCTCAGGAAGATTCCTGGCACTCATTTCTGTTAGAGGCTGAGTCGACCCCAGGTCCATAATGTGGCTCAAAGGATTAGTTCAATTGAAAAATCCAGTGACTCAAGCCCACAACCTTGAGGCTTGTAGCATAGTGCCTCAGCCAGCAATGCTACCGCATGCCCCTTGGTATAGTATAACCACATCAAATTAAGTCCATGATTTATTCTGACCGTCTTACAGTGCATACATTTATTCACCTTACTCTTCTCTCTTGCACTACATGTTTCGGCACTAAAATGCCATCTTCAGGTGCTTTTCGATGTACGTCGAACTACTGCATTGCATGCCCTGTTGTCTTTATACTAAAAAAACTAAAATATATATTCGTCATATATATTGCTAAATTTTAAATATTAAAAATGTTAAAACTATTCAGGATTTGTCATCCTTATGTCGTATTTCAGTACGTGAGTCACACCTATCTTCTTCTGTCTTCTTCTGTGACTCACGTACTGAAATACGACATAAGGATGACAAATCCTGAATAGTTTTAACATTTTTAATATTTAAAATTTAGCAATATATATGACGAATATATATTTTAGTTTTTTTAGTATAAAGACAACAGGGCATGCAATGCAGTAGTTCGACGTACATCGAAAAGCACCTGAAGATGGCATTTTAGTGCCGAAACATGTAGTGCAAGAGAGAAGAGTAAGGTGAATAAATGTATGCACTGTAAGACGGTCAGAATAAATCATGGACATAAATCAGTGCAACAGGACGCTAAACTATAACACATCAAATTAATCCTGACACTGTTGTGTATGTTATTTTATTGTTATGCAGCTGTTGTGTAGAGACATAGGATGGGGTGGTATGGACTAGACTGATCTGGCTCAGGACAGGGACCATTGGAGGGCTCTTTTGGACATGGTAATGAACTGTTGGGTTCCATAGAATGTTGGGAAATTCTTGAGTAGCAGCACAACTGTGGAATCTGAAGACCTCAGCTGTGTGGAGTTCGCTGGCCACTATGTACAGTGATCATAAAGGGACTTCTGTTAGTATTATAAATTGAGTCTAAAATGTTAATGCAGTAGAAATATGCTGTGTATGTTAAAAGTAATTAGTTAATCTTAATTAAAATAAATTACAAGGTACTGTTGCTTAAACAGAGGAACAGTAGAAAATCTTGTAGACTGTTGTCATTTCAGCTGTATGCTGTATGTAGTCTGGTGGAGCATTAGTGTGGGACATGCTTTGTGTGACCTGTTCCCATCTTGATCAGTCATCCTCTTGGGTGTTTTGCAGTTATTTTCCTACTCAGAAACTTCTTTGCAATTCTTTGTACCTGCTTAAAATGTGCTCATCCTATCTTATTCTGTTATTTATTAACGCATTATTTTTATTTAATTTTTCATCTTTCTTCATGATCTTTCCTCCCACACTTCTTAACAATGCCATCTTAACCACTCATAAGCTACTAGTATCTGTCTTGCTTCATGCCAGCATTTCCCTTGTCTGAAATCTCTGAGTTATATACTTCTGTGTCTCTAGTATTGAGCCTTTAGTTACTGAAATGACAATGTGTAATCAGTTAGGTGATCAGTTCATTAGTTAGACATTAATTTAGTTCATCACTAAGTTACTTACCTGGAGTGTCAGCTTGAAAATAGTCATTTAGTTAGTTAGTTAGCCTGCTACCCTAAGGCTGGAGGAGCAAGTTCCTCCAAAGTGTGTGTCCATCTGTCAAGCTACACAACATCACATGACAGAAAAATGTAATCTTGATTCTTATGGCTATGAAAACTTCAAATTTAATTTACTTAGGTCTGTTTGTCTGTAAGTCATTTATTCAGCTACACAGACTTTTAGCTAGCTAGTTTCTTAATTTCTACTCTGAAGATGGAGGCAACAGGTTCCTCTTAAATCTATGAAAATATGTGGTCACATCCTGGGAGATCTTAAGTCTCATGTATTTAGATTGGTTTCCAGCAAGCCAGTTTCCTAGCTAGACAGTCACAGTCAGTTGGCTGCTTTACTTTCCCTGTGTCTCGCCTCTGTTCCAGAGCAATCCACTATTCGGTAGTCAACCAAAGAAATCAATTCTAAAGAAAACTAACTCCTTCACACTGCGCAGTTTCAGCCCCCTGATGAGCCCCACGCCTACTCCCTATACAACAGTCACAGGGGCAGAAAGCCGGTAAGTTTTGTCAGCATTGACTTGTCTCCATGGGCAGTTTATATTTCACCAGATCTCTGTTCATGCGATGCAGCGTGCAGCAGATACATGCAAATTTTGAATTTCAAGAAAACAGATCTTTTGCTGTAAATCATGACAAGAGTTCTGATATGTAAATACTGGTTATGTGCCCATGAAATTGTTAGTCATGCTGTTTTTTTTTTTTTTAATTCAAAACTGACAGGGGGGGGGGGAGATATGCTGTCTGATGAGAAATCTAGCAATGAAAATGTTAATTATGTATTAATCATATAAACAGTTGATTTCTCTTGGAATGGAGTATGTTAGTCCTGTATGCAACTTTAAATCTGAATGCCACATCCACATCTGGCCACCTTTGTGCAGTGAAATGACCTTAGTTCCGACTATTCACATACAGGATCCGCCTGGCATTTGAGGCCATCTTCCGCAAGTCAGCAACTCTACAGGATGTGAACCCTGACCCTGAAGCAGGAGTTGGAGGCAGCATGGATGTCAATTTGACAATGGGGGATCTAACTGATGCACCCCCTGTCCCTCCCAGTCCCAGAGCCTACAAGAAAGTGCAACTGGTATGCCCATTGTCAGTATTTTGTGTGATGAGGTGTTCTGAGAAAATACAAATTTTGATTTTAAATTAATGTAAAGTAAGGTTTATAACTGGGCTAATATTTGCCCAGAATTAAGCTTTCCAGCCCACTATCAACAGACACCATTCTCTCAGTTCCAAATTTTATTAACATATATTAATTGCTTTTGGAGATATAAGATGCAGGAAGGCACACAAGTGACCTCCACATAACATTTCTGCCATGCATTCTACATGCCCCATCCATTTAACTTATCTTGATTTTGTTGCCAAGAGAAAAGTAAGTAAAGAGTACAAACTGTGAACATGTAAAAGGTAAAGCTATATCACTGTAACAGGCTGGAGGTTCATAGGGTTGTACGATATCAAGGCTCCCACATTTTCTAGACAGCTGGCTCACAGATGGTGCTGAGGTTGTCAGCCTTTTACTCCCAGGAAGATTCCTGGTACTAATTTCTTTCAGAGGCTGAGTAGACACTAGGGCCATAGTTAGGCTGGAAGGATTAGGTCAATTGAAAAATCCAGTGACTCCAGCGGGAATCAAACCTGCGACCTTCTGGCTTTTAGCATAGCGCCTCAATAAACTATGTTACTGTGTGCCACCCTGCAAACATATGCATTACATAGTTTTTGGCATTTTCTCTGAGGTCCATATGTTCTCCTCAGCACTGAGTTCATGAACACCTTCAATTTCTTTACTGATATGTAGCCACGGGAGCGAGTGATCGACATGTCACCGGAGGACCAGAAGCAGTGGGAGGAGGAGGAGATGAGCAAGGGAGTTAACTTTGACAAGTGTCACATTGATCCAGCCCCCTTTCAGCTTGTAGAGAAGACTTCATTGCTGAAAGTGCATTCCCTTTTCTCCATGGTAGGGGTAAACCATGCATATGTCACAGCAATCGGCAGGCTCATTGGTGTCGTCGCACTCAAAGAGGTGAGGTCCCCTTTGGTTATCCATGAGGCACAAGATGATAATATATTGTGTTGCAAAATTTTATATGTGGAATGGGCATGTTCTTCGTTTGCAGCTCAGGAAGGCGATCGAAGACTCAAACTCAGGTAATGTTCCAACGCATCAGCCTCCGCACATAACCCTAACCCCTCCACCAGGTTCGGGGATAAAGGGTGACTTGCCCCTGGTCAGTGACCCTCGCAGTAATGACACCATCACATCCATGGACTCTGCCCTCAGTAGCAACACCGCAGCCAGTGAGACAGATGTAGAAGACAATGTCGACAGCTCAAGGCTATGATGGCCATCATGGTATCCTCACAGTTCAGTTTATGATTGTTATGGGTATCAAAGTGTGACTTCTACCTCGCTGGCTGATTGCCACCCTGAGAGAATGGATGTAGGGGCGTGAGTGTAGCACACAGCTGTGATATATGTGAGATTTGAGGTTCTTACTGTGTTGACTATGAAGATTACTGCCTTCTGGGATATAACGCCACGTAGTCTGGCAGAAATTTACCAACATTTTGAAAGCAACTGCTGTCTCCATCAACAGAGTTTGGAAGAGTGTTGGCAACTTCCTACTGGGTTTCATGGCTTCATGTTCTACAAGACAATAATCTTCAGCTGTGATATACATTGACCCAAACTGGTGTACGTGCGTTGCAAGCGCGTCCCAGAAATGTTAGTCGTGGGATGTAGTGTGTAGCATGAATGGTTGTACGTAGCATAGCTGCTCAGTGGAACTGCTGCCCTCTGGCAGGTTGCTGAAGCTCTGTTTTCAAATTCTGGCAATGACACAGTCCTGTAGTGGGCAGCTCTGCTCTTTCAGAGAAATTGTTAGGCCAGAGTCCTCACACTGTGGGAGGCCATGCCATAGCTCAGGCAGTTAGTCACCAATTTCTCACCTTGGTTGCCTGGGTGGTGGATAAAGTGGCACTGGGGCAGGTTTTCTCCAAGTACTTTGGTTTCCCCTACCAATTCTCATTCCACCAAATCCTCCGTACTCATCTATCATCCAGGGCTGGTACCATAGATACTGACCAGATACTTTTACAGTACACTGGCATGCTGTGGTGTTTTATGGCAAAGAAATGAACAGCAGAAAATATACCTGTCTAGTGGTAGAGGAGAGTACTACATGCTCAGACTACACCCTGAAAGAGGAATGTCTTGTTGTGTCATGTTACTATCTGATTGTGGTTGGATATGACAGTCTGGACAAAGCACCAATAAAGGGAACAAAATGGCTACAATTTTGAGAGCGCACTCCTGACTGAAATGTACGTAAACCGGTTAAAGACAACATCTGGAAACAAATGGTTCTTTTGTGGGCCACAGTTATTTTTACCCAGGGATGTGTATGTCTGAGGTGGGAACAAATCAACACAGAAAAATAAATTATACACATCTGTTACAAATTTGAAAACTTCCTGAATGTTCTTATTACTCATTAGCCTGTTGTAGCTTGTGTTGGCCCCAAAACAATGTTACCACGCAAGATGGCTTTTGGCAATGCTTCTTTCTGACTTGTATTCCAGAGGTTTCTGGTTTGAATCTCAGTTGGGACACCAGCTATTCTGGCTGATGTTTTGTTGGTTTCCTCAGACCCTCCAGCAGATGCTAGGATAGTACTCGTATCTTAAACTAGGTCATGAATACTTCGTCCCACATCCCTTTCAATTTATTATTCACTGTTATCTGATCCCTGAATGTTATATAGTGACCCAGGAGGAAGGGCCAATATTCTGCGAGGTCATAGTATCGTCATTCTAAGCAAAAAGGGTGTGTACGTACATGTGTCCTATTCTGATCGGTTTCCAAGATAAGAGGTGTTTCACTGTACAGACAAGCAACATGCCATATCCTCACAAGTTGCAAAGTGCACTGATGTTGACGGAATTTTCGAAAACGTATTGTACTAACTAAATTATACCAACTTTGTCACTTGAACAATAAATACCAGTACCAGAAACAGTACATAATTTCTCTTTCTTATCAACATTTCTGGAACTGTACAGTCAAACGGCTCTACTTCGGAAACCATTCGAAATAGGATGCATATACACATACACTCTTTTGATATATTGGGTTTTTGGACTTTATCCATCGTCCTGGTTTTTAAGATAACTAAAAAAAACACAACGTTTCAGAAAATGGATCTGTTTCCGTCCTCAGGTGAAGGAAAAACCTATTCTGTTGGGTCCGTTAGAAAGAGCTAGCCTCAATCACTGGATCCATCGTCCTGGTTTTTAAGATAACTAATAAAAACACGATGTTTCGGAAACTGGATCTGGACTAGGTCCAGTGATTGAGGCTAGCTCTTTCTAACGGACCCAACAGAATAGGTTTTTCCTTCACCTGAGGACAAAAAACAGATCCAGTTTCCGAAACGTCGTGTTTTTATTAGTTATCTTAAAAACCAGGACGATGGATAAAGTCCAAAAACCCAATATATCAGTGTGTTATACACCATCGTCAGAATCCTATAGTAACTACTTATACACTTAGAATGACCGATACTACGACTTCCTAGAATAGTGACCTCTCCTCCTGGGCTACCCTGTATAATTTTTCTTGCTGACAGTGTTGCTAAATAAATTACAAATAAAATAAATAAAACTCTCAGAAGAAGTTTTAGTTCCTATTTTTCTAGAATTCTTTCCCAATCAGTTGACATTCCCATGTTGGAATTGTGCCAGCATGCAAGGGAAATGGAAGTGTACAATACTTTGTTGCACAAGAGTCATGTTGGATTCGAGACTGTCACGATGGCGATTGGGAAGAACGTTATCTTCTGGGATGTGAAGTCTCTGAAAGTGCACTTCAGTGAACTCTACCAGATTATGTCATGTCACATCCCAGAAGACAATACTCTTCCACATAAATGTTTTATTATTGTTTCTATAGTGATACTTGCTCATGATAATCTTTTATTCTTGTTATGTAAAAATGAATAGAACTGTTATCTTTTTTTTTGTTTTACCCTGATTTAACAGCTGCTGAGAACAGTCATGCAGATCACATACCATACATTCCTACCAATGAACCAAAAGTAGAAGCATGAAGCATAAACTGAGTTAACAGATGGGGCTTCATATGGCAACCAAGGTTTTTACTGTTGCATTCCTTCACAGCCCCCTCTGAGCTATGTTAACCAGCCCACAGTGTGTCTCACTAACATAGGTATCAGCAGCCTCCGTAGTCTAGGGGTAACGTTCCCACCTCATGACACAAGGTACGCAGGTTCAAACCCTGCGCAGGTTGTGGAATTTTTAAGGGTGGAAAAATTCAGGGAACAAGTCCTCCGGGAGGGACTTTAAGCAGTGTGTCCCGTGTCGTAGATTTACAGCACGTAAAAGATCATGTTTCTAGGAGAGACTGAGCAAAATTAGGCAAAGTTTCCTGCCCAAGTAGTTTCCAATTCCTCTGGTAGATGGGGAAGTCTCGGGGACCACTGCCAGAGAGGTGGCCGACCTCGCTGGCAGGACGGGGCTGATAGCGAGCACCAGTACTGGAAGGGCATGGCGACTGGTAGAATATCAAAGGAGGACGCACAATAGACTACTAGTCGCGGTGCATGGGGAAACGCACCCCCTCCAATAATAATAATAATAACAACAACAACAACAACAACAACAACAACATAGGTATGGACGCCAACATTGTCATGTACAGAATAGTTGGAGGGAAATATGGGGAATTGTGCTGAACCAGTTGGTACTAAGAAGAAATGTGAAGAGTATCCTGGAAGCACCACATGGTGAACAAACTAAAATAATAAAATACTGGCAACTCACTGCTGAATGTATAAAGAGCAGCATGCCCCAGGGTTGTTCCATGAGACTTCTGTGATCTTGTAGAGCTGCCAACAGTTATTCCACTGAACAGAAAATGCATTTAGAAATAGTATTTATTTTTATATGATAATACATTCACTATGCTCTCAGTGTATTGAGGGCTGAGTTACATCAGAAATACTCCTGGAAATCATTGAATATGACCAATAAAGTTAACACTGATTTACATGAAATTTGGTCTTTATTTGCCTGTTTCTTGTACAGTTTGTGTGTATGCTAATACCTTGCAATACGACAATCATCTCTTACCTTTCACATTCTTCACCCACTGTCATTTTATCACGTTATACAGTAATGTACCAAGAGGAGGAAATGCAGAAATTTGAACGTTTCATGACAAATAAATGCACTAAAATGTTCTCAGGCAATCAGCCATGACTTCTGATACTCTGTATTTCCATCATCAGAAACTATGTGGGGAATCACAAATGTGTGTGTGTAAAAGTGATGCCTTAGGCTGTCTACACACTATGCAGTAGAACGACAGTCAAATTGTGCATCATCGACAACTTGACCAGCCCTCTTGTTGCCTCATGTGCCACAGAATTGAGTGATCATACTGACATTGTCACTACCCGCACAGGGTCCAATGAAGGAGACTGAGATTTCTGGAATGTTGTGGCTCAAAATTAGCATGGTTAATTGCCTAAGGTTTTTGTTCAGTTACCAAATATGGAAATTTCAAGTGTTGTGGAGACCGCTTAAAACTATATTGTGAGATGTGGAAACAAAATATAGTTAATCCAAGTAGAATGAATTCAGAAAATATACATGGATAAAATATTTTGTATCAGATTTTTTGTTATAATGGCAGTCGATGAAGATTAATGCCTCCTAGTAAATGACACCACATACTGTGATCAATGGCTTCCAAGTCTTGGAAGAAACCATTTCCCCCACCTTCTAAAATGAAGCGTCAAATTCTTTATACACACATTGGTACCTACTTGATAAATAACACGGCGTCATTTAACATAATGCATAATCTCTAAATGGAGGCTATGCATTCCCCTGAAACATTGGTAACCACTTACCATACTGTACGACCTGTACTATGTCATTAGCCGCAACACCATACAAAAAATCTCATAAAGTTATCATATCATCTAACCATCTAACTACGATAGCATAACACCAAATTTCACGGATTACTCAATTTCGAATGGGTATATCCACAGATCAGTACCATATATTCCGTCACCATTCGTTAAAATGCGCGCATGTTGCGCATTTATTGAAACGAACAATTTTCTCTAATAGTTCCGCATAGTGCCCAAAGATGGTAGGACAATCAAATTGCCTGAATCAACGTTCCCGATGCATTTTAGAACATACCTGACGTCAACGAAGTGACGTCACGTAGCATATCGGAGTGTGATATATACACTACAAATGAAGCGACGTCAAAATTAATTACAACAGGTCATTGGTTTTTTTTCCATCTCAATTAATTGTATGGTTAAAAGATGTTATAAGATAGGCATTATACCTGGATCCAGGGCTTGCAGGAATACCTAAGAACATTAATAATTTTAAAACACTACCAAAACAAATAGGCAAGTCGCAGTTGATTTATGCATGTCGTTCATGGCTTATAAATTGATAAAGCTAGATTAATATGAGTATGGGAAATATATTTTAAAACCCTCGATGTTTCTGTGTTGACTTCAGCAAACTTCGATTCGCAAAGAAGAATCCTAATTAGTCTTATAGCCAATTGTTTTCTGTTCAGCTTCAAATCCTGATGCAATCTCCAAATAATAAAACTTTGTGAGGAATAAATAGATGCTATTAGTGTAAAACAGATATATTAGGTTTCACTGTGATTCCTAACATGATGTTCAGTTTTGGTGTGAATTAGATACATGTAATTTCAAATCATCCTCTCGAAATTCGTTTCGGCTATCGTCGATTTTACTACATGTGACGTCATATAGCTACGGGGTTTGCAAA